CCGTCATCACCGACCAACCAAAACCATTTGCTCAGCCAACACCGTTCAGTACCAACCCAGGATGGGCGGAGGAGATTGCTCTAGGTCCGGGCCCTCCTGCAAGGAGAGGAGGTCAGCGGAACAATCATCGACGGACCGATAGTTGGCATACTGATCCATTGTCACCTATGGAGTCCAGCCACGACGTGGGGGAGGAATCGCTGCGAAAGGATAAGAGCAGCCTTATGCATCCGCTTGGCGACCGGTGGAACCGTATGCGTTATCAGCGCGAGGATGAACCTCTGTGGGGGGAGGAAGTGGAGGTGAAAGGCTCTTCGGTTGGAATCTCCGGCCGGGGCAAAGCGAATACGACCGAACCCAGCAAGTACTATGTCGCCCGGGTACCCCCAGTCAACGATCTTCATCCACCGATTGTAAGCGGACCCAAGAGCCGAGCGGAAACAAGATGGATGTTGCAACCGCCTCCCAGTGCGAGAGTCATGGCCGGAAAGGAACCGTTCAGCGCCTCAACCCGCAAGAATGACTGCGGGGCACGACCCAAAGACAATCATCTTAACAAGGCAGGGTCGGCAGTTGCTCAGCGGAATAGACAGCTCCCGCCCTTGGCTACTCAAAGTACGGATCAAAGATCGTCGAACAAATCCACGCCTATTCTGGCTTCTCCCTACGAACACGCCGCCCAGAAAGCACCAAAGCCCAAAAGCAACAGTCAGCGTGAGCTTCCTCGGCAGCCGCCGTCGACTATGCTGCCATACGGACGTGATGAGAGCACATTTGTCATCTCAGGACCTAGACATTCACGTTGCGATTCAACCTCTACTATTTCTTCTCCAGACTGCTCGGAAGCGGAGACCCCCAGTATCTCATGGCAGTCTCCGGAAACTCCGACGTCACGGCCAGTATCAAAATCAACCGACGACAATATTAAAAATGCCCGTCCGAAAGTATCAAAGACACTATCTACCTTTCACCAGGACAACAAACAGATCCAACTATACCATTTGGATATCAACGATGATGCGCTTGAAGAAATTAGCCTGGGCCAGTTTGAACCTATTCGACCTTGGCGTTGGAGCATGGACATTTGAGGATAGAACCCCAGTGGACCACGCTTTCAACCTCGCGTTTGTTTCTTAAACCTTTTGGCCTTGCGCACGTTTCTGGATGCATTCAATTGGTTTCCCTATCTCGGCGTTGGAAGCACAAAAGCGGCTGTTTTCTCACTCCCATTTTTTTCTCCCCCCGTTTATCATCCATGCAGAGCAGGAAAAAGGTCTACCATTATTCCCGGGCTATCTCCATGGCAGGTCCATGGCAGGCATCCTGTGGGATCCTCAGCCCTAGGCTTCTCGTCTGAGTCATCGTCCCATTTGCTAACTCTTTCGCATTCCTGCATTCGAGTCATTCTCATTGTCAGCGCAGATTACCATTCTCTAGCCGTTTCCTTGACCTGTCCCGTCCTATTCTTAACCGAGGTTCTCCTTTTGAGCTGTTGAACTTTCTTCGTGTATAATAGCTTCCCTAATACATACCTTGCGTCATATTTTACTTTCAAGCTAGTGCAAAACTTGCTCGTGTGTTGTAACGAGTGATGCAGTAAGCTACATTCCTGCATTGATACGTAGTCTAGCCAATCGATCCACATGTGGCGTGCATAGGCAGTGCATAGGGTAGTCATACCGGTATAACGATCGACTGGTCCACCTGCATCCTGCATGTAGATAGACGTAAGGAACTAAACGCAATTATTGGGCGGTCCCCATTAGATAGTCGGTGGGAGTATTGTACTTTCTAATGAAAAGAAATACCAATAGAGAAATGCTGGTACTCATATTTCTCGTCTGAGACGATAAGGTCAAGGTAAGAACAAACTAGCCAACAGAAGAATTCAAAATCGATTTAGGTCACAACGCGTCGAACTCCTCTTGATGATGATAGGACGAAGAAGCTGCGCTGGCGGAGCTCCAGTCCAAGATATGAGATGAAGCAGAGGCGGACGGACAAGGGAGGTCTTGTGAGAAATAGATTTTTCAGGGACACGTAGGCGCGTTCGCAAGAAAATGCTGGACGTCAAAGTTTTGGTAGGAGATGGTTGTCCTTGAGTTGACTGGAATATAACCTGCTACTTCTAGTAGACCTTCTTCTTCTCGTCCATGCTCAGTTGGCCGGGACCCATGTTGACCAGGAGAAGGAGACCGCCACTGTTATAGAGCGGTTAGGACATGATTACTGGTGGAGGCGGAGGATTGACACTTACACAATGGATAGAATCTGGAAGAAGTCGTACTTGGCAAAGTCCTTGTGGGGGTGGTGGGGGTGCAGCTGAGAGCAGGAGTCAGTTACGGGTTTTATCCGTCGTAGAGGAAAATGAACGTACAGTCCAGAAGTTATTGACGAGTACGTTGAAGACACTCAACAAGACCACGAGAATGATGGCGCTCCACTTGGCCTTGAAACCGACGATCACCATGACACACGCGACGAAACCGAACAGACTGACCAGCACGCGCCACAAGCTCCACTGGCCGGAGAAGACGAATCCAACGAAGAGGAAGATCAGGAGCACGCGACCAGCAAACTGAACGTACATCTTGCGGTCCTTTTCATCCAATTGGGGCAATCCGGCAGGGACGAACTTCTTGCGAACCCACGAGTCGGAGAGAACCATGAGCAGACCTCCGACAACACTGAGATTGCGCAGGAAGAAGTTGAGATCAAAGATGAGACCATAACCGAGACCTTGTGTGACAACAACTCCGAGCAGACCGGCGACGGCGATCTCAGTGTGACGGCGGGTGATGACCAGGAACGAGCATACGGACATTGCAATGACGTTGCAGATGAGGAAAGTGTGCGTGATACCCCAGGGAACTGGACAAAAGAGCTCGTGTTAGAAGAGATTTGTCGGAAAGTTGTATAGATATGGCGAATCAGGGACGCTTACTTTTCCGGTATTCACGGAGGTATACGAGCTGATCGCTCCATTGTGTGATAATACGTAAGCTGTCCTCGATGAAGGTGACCACTATAAGGAAACGGCCAATGGCAGGAAGATAGCTAGCAATCAAGACGACACAGCGTCAGTATGTTTCTGGACTAAGGTTCGGCGTGTTCGCCCTTGTTTGTATACTTCATCCCTTCTGGCGGACAAAGTGGAACAGGACAACGTACGGCTTTATAGGATCTGAGATTGTATCCAACCAGTCTTCGATCTTGCTTGTTTGTTCCCGAATAGCATCCAAGGGACTCGGATCGCTCGTCGCGTCTGCTCGTCCAGGCCCTCCGAAGGGGTTCTGGTGACCGAGGTTGTAACCCGCAGTGCCGCGAATCTGCGCCATAGCGGGAGAATGAACCGGTGGAAGAGGACGGATAAGTACTTCAGACAGACGTCAATATCAGTAAACGTCGGTTGGATTGTCCAAACGGAGGATAAATTCAACGAGACTCCGGAGCGAAGGAGCCGAGGAGCAGGGCGGCGGGGAGAGTAGTGGTGGTGGTAGTTTGTTTTGTACCGGCGTAGTAGGAAACAAACAATAAGAAAGCGAGGGAGGCCAGCAAAACAAGGGAAAACAGAAATAGATGGATCACAAACCTTTCGATGATAAAAGGGGATACGTCGAGAGAAAGATAGCCCAAAGGGATAATCAATAAGCAAGTCAATAACAAGATCGTAACCAGAAAGAAGAAAGGACTTGGAGAAATAATAAGAACGACTCTTGATCTCTTGATTGTTCCCTTGTTACTCTTGTTCTGGTCACTTTGTCCAGTTCAGGCCACGATGACCGAAACTCGCCTCTAGTCCTGTTCGGGCAAGGTTGCCAAGCTGCACCTCCCTGCGCCCTCAGTGACGACATCACGTTTCTTCATCGATTCTGCTTATATTCATCAGAAAGTAGAGCTTCAAATTGGTCCAATCGATATTTATAAGGATGCCATCAATATACTGAATGGCCTCCTCCATAAAGCAACATCTAGTGTCAACCTATGTGGTGGTGTGTAATGGATATCCAAAGATCACAATCAGCGCATACCCCACACCCACATATTCAGGGACGCCGATCTTCAGGCCCGTTCCTTCGTCCCTGATTCGACCCTTAAGGTCGTTCTCACCATGTACAGGATCATTTGGGTTTCAACAAGACTGAGAATCATAGTAAGAAATTAAAACTTCGGATTCAAATGATGAAATATCACGTGTGTACAGAGTATGGAAGAAGCATAAATATAGAAACGGCTGAGCCTCGCCAGATCCGAGACGGCCACCACTTCACCAACACTAAGCTCCACCTTGTCTCGCATGAGTCGACCCAAAGCTCAGATCTGTTCTTTTTGTTCGACTTTCGAGATCAGATCACAGCAGAAGCTGAGAGATTAGAGAGGTTGTCTGTGCCTTTTATTTTAGCCCCTGACTCGGTAGACAGATCCTGAGATCAGCAGTAGATCTGGTCCAATGTTCGAGCTTGGGCCACAGGGAAGATACCTATTCACAAAACCAAATCTACGTATGCCGAGGGAAGAAGAATGATCAAAATCATGAATCAATACAGTATGTACATTTAAGGCCTCAGATAGACTGGAAATGTGAAATGTTGTAACCCTTGATAGAATTCATCACTCAATTATTGATCAGAAACAAATATGTTATAAGAACAGTCAAGAGGCCGCAACAAAGACACACAAGAAAAGTACATGAATTCTTTTTTCCCCTTTTTCTTTTTTTTTTCCCCCATAGAAAGTCTCTTCTTTTCTTCTGGACAATTCAACAATGTTTCTCTCTTTTCTTCTTCCCGCACTCAATCGTGGTAGAATGAATCCATCTCACCCGATACTAGACATTTTGTGGTATATCGAAGACAGCCCAAACGCCAAAGCCATGAATAATAAATACAGTCCAAGGCTTAGAAGCTTGGAATGAATGAGAAGCGTGCTGCTCTTATACGACGTTGTCCTCGTCCCCAAAGGATAAAAAGGAAAGGAAATAGAATGACTACACGGATCATCTAAGCGGCCCAGTCGGAGTCGAGAGGGTGTCCCTTCTGCTTCGAGCGCAGAATATCGGGTATATAGGTGGGGGTCACAGTGACCTTGGGGGCAGTGGGAACCGCCACTGGAGCGGCAGGAGTCGCCTGAGTCTCAGACGCACTGGCCTCGCTGAAGCTCTCATCAGCTTTGCTGCCCTTCTTCTTAGGCTTCTTGCTGGACACAGTGGTCCAGTCATCGACAGGGTCAGCACCCAAGATACGCATCTGCTCCTCTTCCGAGGGAAGGCCTTGGTCCCACTTCTTCGAGCTCGAGGCAGTGGCAGGAGACTGCTTGGAGGACGGCGCTTCGAAAGTGTCCAGCAGTTCCGTGTTGGGGCTCTGAGTCACACTCTGAGTGCCGTTGGAAGTGGGGTTCACGTCCTTTGTCTGCCAGGCGTTGGTCTGAGGCGCAACGGGCTTGGACTTAGCCGCCTCACGGCGCTCAGACTCCCGGGCCATGTGGAGTTGTTTCTCGAGGAGCTTGCGTCTTTCTGCCTCGGCTTCCTGAACTTGTTGCTTACGAGCCTCGTTCTTCGCCCGTTGCTGACGTTGCTTTTTCGTTTCAACCTGCTTAAAAGATTGAGCCTTCTGCTTCTTCTGCGGCGCTTCCATGGATCCGGTGACACGGAGGACAGACGCGCCGGGAGCAGGAGCTTCGAGCATGTCCGATACATATCCAGCGGAGGAGGCGGTAGGCTTCACCATCGGGGACCCCGCGGGGGAGAGATCATCGTCCGCGTCTGCGCCAGCGGTGGAGGAGGCGCGAGTTGAGACGCCGGATCCAGAGCGCTTACTGGCCTCAGCCTCTAGTTGGCTGGCGGACTTCTTCTTTTTCTTTTGAGATTTACCCTCGCTGCCGCTCACCTGGGCGGGGATTCCACTCTTCACAGCGGTAAAACGCTTGGCCATCTCCTTCTGGTCAATCTCTTCATCCCCATCATCACCCTCCGTAGCTTTGTATTCGAATGCGGGCTTCTCTTCGACCTTCTTGGTCGTTGTGGATGAAGTAGGCTCGGGGGATTTTTTCGCCTTCTTCTTTGGCTTCTTGACGCCAGTGGCGCTTTCTATCTTCTCTACCGCGGGCTTGACGGTGTTCTTGGCTTTGGAATTCGGGACATTATAATACCATCCCAGCCCAACTGCCACCACGAGTAGCAGAGCCCAGCTAATGTAAGGATTCATCATGGTTCAAGCTATATCCACAATGTGTCAGCTCGTCAGGGTCGAGGTGGCGCTTCGCGGTGTGGGAATGGAGCATACCTAGGCAAATTCGTTTTTCAAAGAGAAGCAAAAGAGGCAAGAAAGGAAATCGTATGAGAAAAGTCGTGATATTGATGGTCGTCGTCTCAATGGATCGTTCTTTGAAGTGTGGAAGAACGGCGCAGGAGACTGGGCAGGGAGCCCCTGGTACCGATTGTGATCGATCACGGAGGATTAATTGGCTGGACAGATTCGCAGTGACTCAATTTGGTTTATACCATCAGGCCAAGAGAGGTTGGAGACTCGGACGGCGGATGATGGAAAGCTGAAGGGGGTTCGAGGCGGAGAATGTCGCGCTGAGAAGGACAGATTGCGTCCGCGAACAGAAAGAAGCAGTGTCGTTCGAGCGAGCGAGTCTTTAGCAACTCAATTTTCGCACCTTTGCAAAGGCTGGCCAGAAAAATTGAGTTGACCAGAGAGATTTCCGACTGGGTCAGGGGAGTTGGTTGCAAGTCAAGAGGCGAGGTCGCGAGGGCATGAAAAATGGGGAAGGGAGGGTGGGATCACCAGAGGAACATTGAGACAGCTGGTTGATCTCAATTGAGAGATGAGAACAAACAAGCTGAAGGTATGATGAACCGAAGGGATCACTGGAAGGTCAGTGTGAGTGAATGACTGATGGGGAAGAGAAATACGTGGTAGTGAAAGGTGGATAGAGGAGGTGGAAAGGAGGAGCAAAGCGATAATAATTACGACGGAAGAGGACACGGTCACTAAACTCCGCTCTCCAAACTCTCAGTATGGACTTTACGGAGAGTACCTTTGAGAGGAGACTAGATAGGCGGTACGGAGTAGCACTGAGGAGTCTCCACTGGGGCATAGTTCACTTTGACAAATGATTAATTTCATTGATCATTGAAGTCCAGCCTATCAAGCATCCATCGATAGATACCGCTCTAGCTGGATGTTGTTTTACCCAATTTTTTGATTGTTGCCCATCACCCTACTTTCACTTCGTCTGTAGGTATACTATCTACCGCCCTCAAAAGTCGTTAAGCGACTCGAAATTGTCTGAAAGGTAGTGACATTCACTCTGAAATGGAATCCTCCTTGATGGATTAATAAACGGCACTTGCATACGGAGTTAGCTGATTCCTCCAGGGGGTAATTCGCGCGGGGGGAAGCCAACCAATCCTTCCAGCCATGAGGTATTCCAGACCTTTTCCATCAGCGCATTTCCCCTGACTTTGTCATGCAGTCTAGATTTTATGTTGACACAGGGCTGGCATGATTGGTGCCAAGATACGCGCGTAGTATCTCAGGTAATAGTCACAATCATAGTTCTTGGACAAGGCTACACCAGAACAGGCCACGTCGACCGTTTTGACTGCCAAGTCATCCTCCACAGGGTAGGTACCCGTCTATCTTACTATGTACCAACGTCAAGAGAACCTTCGAAACTGGCGAACAATTTGAATACAGAAGTACTAGGCACTCCGTTAGAAGGAGGAATTTGTTAAATACTCACAACCCCTGACTCGTACCTCGATATTTCTTACGGGTTCATGGATGAGCAATTGACTCACTGGATGCCACGAGGGTACCTATACTTGAAGCCATATCCCTTTGATTGATGTTTGATCAACGAGTAATGCAAGGACGCGTGCTCTATCCTGATGGTAAATAATAATAATGTCGAGAATCTCGACCATCTGTTCTTCAGTCTTCCTGTTGGAACTATGAGTGTTGCTGCCTGATTCCTCAGGTCAAAAGGTACCTCGGCCTTATGCATAAAACTGCATAAGCCTTACCCTAATCATGGTGATGTGGCTGTCTTCTAGAATAATAATTCTCTTCTGGAAGTGTACTCCATACCTATCTATGAGTTTGGCCAAATTTTGGCACTGCTTCTGTTAGCAAAATTGTCGCCTACAAATCCGCGGTCGATTACATAAAAACATCGTGTTCAAGAACACTATGTAACCTTAGGCACATCGGAGTACTCCGCACTTGCTCGGAACCCTTGATGAGAAAGTTCTCAAAGTACTCCATATGGTGGGGAATATGATAACAGAGCCAAGAGAATAATAAGATTTCCCATCCCACTTTCTGTTGCCTTTCTGGATTATCAACTTCTACAACGATTTGGCCCAAGAAAGCACCACTCGTTTTGTTAACCTTGTCAAACACTGACTCCTCATAAGACTGATTCCTCGGCTCACCGCATCATGGCGCCGAAGAAGATCATCATCGACACCGATCCTGTATGCCTTCGCCAGCATCAATACGTATACGAAGACTGACTCGACGTAAACAGGGCATCGATGACATTCTCGCGCTCCTTCTTGCTTTATCCGCACAGGATGAAGAGGTCGAACTGCTGCTTATCTCTCTGACATTTGGCAACATCGAAGTGAGGAGGTGAGTTGCCGTCCTTCTAGTTGCACCAGTTTTCAATCGCTAATTATGGAAAGCTGCCTCCGTAATGTCGTCTCCATGTTCCACATTCTGGAGCGAGAGATGCAATGGCGTCGTGAACAAGGCCGGCCTGAAGGGTTTGACGCCCTGCGCGCCTGTCGACCGGTCGTTGCCGTTGGGGCCGAGGACCCTCTAGAGAATCAGAAGATGTTGGCCGATTATTTTCGTATGTACCTTGTCATAGAAAAGTTTATCATCGGTGCTAATGGTTGATACACAGATGGGACGGATGGACTTGGGGGCATTCATGCTAGCGTATGTTGACGTTCCTGATGGTCCCTCGAAAGATGCTGACCATCGCAGCATCCGCACTTCACTCCAAAGGAAACCTGGGAGCATATGTTCGATCCCTCGGCGGAGCCTACCGTCATCGAGCCCATACGCACGGGAGACTCGGCGCATCAATCCTTCATTGCCTCCAAGCGGCCCGCTCACCAGGAAATCCTCCGCGTACTACGCGAGAACGATCCCGACACCGTCACCCTCGTGGCTGTCGGTCCGCTGACCAATCTGGCCCTCGCTTCCGCGGAGGATCCCGAGACTTTCCTGCGGGTCAAAGAAGTTGTAGTCATGGGTGGCGCAGTCAATGAACCGGGCAATGTGGGCTTACCTCCCAGCTATGATTCTAGGTCTGTTTCTCGACTAACAAATGATAGGTCACACCCGTTGCCGAGTTCAACGCATACGCCGACGCATTCGCCGCGGCGCGCGTCTTCGCCCTCACCTCCCCAACCCCCAAAAGCACCATGCCATCCGACACCACCCTCCCCTCCTACCCCGCTAAACTAAGCAAACAGCTCACCCTGCGCCTCTTCCCGCTGGACATCACGCACCGCCACGGCCTGACCCGCGGCCAGTTCCGTCAAGCCATCGCGCCCCACCTGGAAGCCGGCTCACCGCTGGCGGAGTGGATGTCGGCCTTTATGGCGCACACGTTCCGAACCATCGAGAACCTTGTCCGCGACCAGGTCGGCGATGCTGTCGATCTCAGCCTGCACGACCCCGTCTGTATGTGGTACGCGTTGACCGCCGAGGATGCGGGCTGGAAGCCCTCCCAGGCCTCGCCTGAGGATATCCGGGTCGAGACGACGGGCCAGTGGACGAGAGGCGCGTGTATTGTCGACCGACGCAGCCGGCAGCGCCTCGAAGGGGAGGAGGAAAGTGCCAGCGACCATGGCCATTGGTTGAGCACGAGGGCTGGAAATCGTATCTGGAGAATGGACGGTTCGCCTGCGGAGAAGAACTTTGGCGCGATTCTACTGGAGCGGATATTTCGATGATTCCACCATTAGAACTGAAGCATGCACCTTTCGTTAGAGCAAATAGACACATGGGGGATATCTCTGGTAGAATAGTACATACCTAGTAGACCATTGTATGTTCTTCGTTCCAGAAATGTTGATCGATGTATATCACCGTTAATCGTCTAAAATGTGATGAGCACTTGAGAGCCGAGCTGCAGAAAAAGCAGGCACTGATGAGATCCCTGGATCTACTGGGTGCTAATAGACCATGGCCTTGGAAGTATCCAATTATCTGAAGAAAAGAACCGCAGGAACGAGAGAAGAAAGTTCCCCAGCTAAGCATTTTTCGAGGCATCCACTGCCAAGGTCAGATACCTGCTATTTCGAACCACGAACGGCAGGTTCCTTTTGAGGGCATGCTGGCGCGGAGAATTGCTGCCTGAGTCAAGCCGGATTGCCAGCAATTTCCTCCGCGTGTCCACTTTGGAGGCTGGTGATGGACAGCGTAATAGGATGGTTTCTTGCATATATATATATATATATATAGGTATATATATTCAGATGTACGAAGCATCTAACCATAGTTACAGACTTGATTGCTTTGAGGAATACTGCGTAACCAGGAGAGAGTATGCATAGCTTATAATTGCCGTTATTCAGCTACAGTGGCTCAACATGCTATGATACGATCAACCGTAAACTCAATCAAATGTGCTCCTGGAAGAATATCTTCTCGGAAAGTATACCTTATTTGACATCGAACGCACTACATACTAATGAGACGCATTCAATGGACTCGGTATCCTCCCGGTGATTGCAGCTGGTTGAACTTATTAGGCATGACCACACATGCCACAGGTATGAATTGTATTCTGTGTCTTATTCAAGACAACACGGGAAAAATGATAAAGCTTGATTGATCATCAAGGGTTTAACTTTCATAATCAATCCTCACTAAAATGAAAGATCATCAGGGTACTCAAGGTAAGCAAGGATGAGGTATTATTTTCCAGCGATTACTGCTACCCAGGGACATATCAGGAAAAGGTGTGCGTGTGAACCTTCACAGTCGACCTAGAGTCAAAGCCAGATGATGATCAGTGCACCCTGGTTTCTCCGGATTCATCTTTTCGTGTCCCCTCTGGAGTACACTAACACACTTATCAAAGCCTTGAACAGCAGCACGAGCCCCAAATTGGTGGACGAGATGAGCCCAGGGTAGCCGGTCTCGTGCCTCGCCGACCCCCCGGTGGACCAGCCTAT